CTACTCTGAGGTCTTCTATTCACAACCCTGGAGCAGTTCTGGGGAGCTGGCCTCCTCCAGACTGTGTTGTGTTTTGACTTGTTTAGAGAGAGTTTAAAATATATAGTAACACATGTTTACGTTATATGCAAATACTATTCCATTTTATTTACCTTTTGATTTCCCGAGACAGTCTCACCCAGGCTGGCCTAGAAGTTGTGGTCTTCCTGCTGACCTCTCCAGTCCCTTTTCTCTGCCCTCTTAGAATTTCCCGAGACTACAGAAATAAGACGATCTTATATCAGCATATTTGGCCTTTAACCTGTACAGCTCCATGGTCACAGTGGTGAGAGTCCTTTGCTGGTCATAACAAGCACCTTTCCACCTTGCCCGATTTGTGTTAATGAAGTGACATGGAGAGTCCTCAGACAACACTGGATGGGGTCCTGTTGCCAGGGAACTCAACTGTACCCCCAGAGGATTGGAGCTAAGAGCACCTCCTCCTGTGGAAGGAAGGGCTAAAAGTAAGCTGGTCACCGATGACCAACAATCAGTCATACCTGCACACTTCCATACACTCAAACAAACAGGGTTTAGGAGCTGCCAGGGTGGGGACGGGCACAGCAGAAGGGCATGGGAGTCCATGGCCTCTCCCAACACCTTGCCGTGACGTGTGGTAGGGAAGTTTGTGTTTTTCCTTTCCCTCTGAGAGGTGAATAATGTTAGTCTATGAAATAAACTGGTAATGGTCAGATTAGTTTATAAACATATCAATGTAGATCAACAAGGGAGCTCATGGGCAGTGGGGGTGGGGCTTAAAGTAAGGGCTTAAAAACAAGAACTTGAGCCAGGAGGCAGTGGCGCACGCCTTTATTCCCCAGCACTTGGGAGGCAGAGGCAGGTAGATCTCTGAGTTCAAGGCCAGCCTGGTCTACAGAGTGATTTCTAGGACAGGCACCAAAACTACAGAGAGAAACCCTGTCTTGAAAAACCAAAACAACAGCAACAACAACAATAGGAACTTGAGACTGTTGGAGGGACAGAGGTGAATGCAAACTGTGAGAGGTTAGAAAAACATCACAAAGATTGTCCTGTTACACAAGCAGTCTCCTAGAAAGCCATCTGGCCAACCTCTGGCTCGGCCAGGTGTTAGCCTTGCAGTCTTTGCCCATACAAAGATTTTCTTAGGCAGTTGGGGACCTCTGGTGGAAAGGCTCTGCCTGCCTGCTGTTTGCTAATGCAGAGTATAGAGTTGTTGTCAACAAGGAAGGGCTTCTCAGAGGCAGCCTGTGTCCACCCATAGAGGTCTAATAACCAACTCAGAATGTGCCAGAGAAGTGTATTTGGGAGGGGACGTTTTACTCCCACAGTCTCTTTCTCTATACCCTTTGTAATAATTTTTATCATAAACTGCCAAATGTAGGGCCGGCAAAATGTTTCAGCAGGTAAAGATACCTCAACTGACAACTTGGCTTAGATACTGGAGTCCACATGGTGGAAGGAGAGAATTGATCAAGTTGTCCTCTGACCACATGAGGGCTTAGACACATGCACATGCACATCAGTACATGAAGTATACTTAATGTATACTTAATGAAGTATACATAATGTTTCTCTGGGTTGAGAGCAGCTCTAGGCTACACAGTTGTAGGGACCCCTATTTGTAGCCAATAGATCAGAATCATAGGTAGAGAAACATAGGACTGTTAGGTGGGTAGGAGGGCAAGTTTCCCAGGATCTGATGCTATTCTCAGATAGATAGTATCGGAGTTGAATTAGTAGTGTCCATCCTAGGATCCTGGCTTGGTTTGGGGGAAAGCCCACACAGTTGGTTACAGCCATGTTCCATATTGTGCAGAGTATCATAGCAGAGGGTGGATTTGTTGATCTTAAATCATCACAGGGAGTCTGGTCCATTTTGACAGCTTCCTTGTCCTTTACCCTGAAGTTTGCAGGGGAGGTGGAGAGCCTAGAGCTTAAGTTCCTTTAACTCTTTTAGGCTCAGCTGATCATGGTGGCACATGCTCTCAATCCCAGCATTTGGGGGTAGAGGCAGGAGAATCTCTTGAGTTCGAGGCCAGCCTGGTCTACAGAGCAAGTTCCAGGACAGCCAGGGCTACACAGAGAAACCCTGTCTCGGAAAAACAAAAACAAAAAAATCTATTAGGCTGTGACCTAGCCTAGGAAACTGGGAATCATAGAGATTGTTCTTATCATGCCACACTGCTAAAGACTCAGTCACTTCCTGAAGACTCAGAAACTCAGTACACCATAGCACTTTTCATATCTTTTCCTAGTATCACTCCCAAGACTGAAGGCAGCATGGTGGGAGGCAAAAATGAAGGATTTATTTCTTCAGACACCAGCCACATCTGTGATGGCCAGCAGCCATGTTACTAGTAGCAACCTTGTTGGACAGCACAGCAGTAGAATGTTTCTGTCACTGCAGAAAGTTCTGTTGGACACAGTTGGGAGCTAGTCCAGCATTGGCCTTCACAGAGTCCCTAGGCATGATAAAATCATGTATAAACAGTGCGTGCACACACTCGCCTGTTTTCTTGGGGAGAAAGTTTATCATAATTTGTTTGAGTTCATCAAAATTGGAGTCTTGGATTGAAAGTTTACAGTGACTTAAGGGTTCACAGTCTCCCTGAGTAGCTGGTGTTCATCAGCTTCAGAAGTTAAAGAGAACAGGAACCAGTGTTGAAGGTTGATGGGTATGAGCTGCAGGAGGGTGGAGACAAGCAAGCAAACCAGAAGCCAGGACAGCAGTCTTAGTCCACGCTCTCTTGTTATAATAAGTTCCCATGATTCATTTCACTCATCCCCTGCAGAAACCCAGATTTAATGTTTCAAAACATTCTAGCTGAATCATGCTCATTAGCTAATATGTCTCTCATTTTAAATTAGTCAGATATGTAGAACTGCAAATAAACCTTCTGATGTAATGTGGGAGATCCAACATTACCACACCAAATTGAAAGAATTCCAATTTAGCTTTGATTTGAAATCCAGGGAAGAAATGATACTTTGGCCCCAAAGCTTCTAACTAGGTTTATTGGTGCTCCCAAGACCACTGTATAGCCAAGCTTACCTTGAACATGTTGATCCTCCTGCCTCAGCCTCTCAGACACTGCAGTTACAGGTTTGGTGATTCCCTAAGACAACTCCCAGGACTCAGCATCTAGTCACACAGGTGGCAGTGACCTTTCACAAGAATACAAAGCAGGATGAGCAGGTGAAATAGTGCGTGTGTCAAAGTTCAGAGGAAGCCAAGGGTAGCATGGTGGCTCACACTTTTAATCCAAGCACTCAGGACGCAGCGTAGGTGGATCTCTGGAGATTGGGGGCAGCCTAGTCTACATAGTGAATTCTAGGACAGTTGGGGCTACGTAGAGTGACCCTGTCTTTACAAAACCAAACCAGAGGAAGCCAAGTCTAAGCTTCCAGGAGTCCCCTTCCAGTGGAGTCGCAGGACAAACTTAATTCCATGTACGTGAACGTTTTCTTAGCAGAAAAGCTCACTTAAGACTCCATATAGATTTTTATGAGGGCATCCTCTGCCTAGAAAAGCAGGTGTTGATAACATGTAAACTATATTTATTTGCACTAAGTTTAAGCACAGAGAGCCATTGTTAGCAGGAATAAGGAATCCTGAAATCCTTGTTCTCAGAAGCTAGCCAAGGTCCAACCTCATAGTTAGGCCTGTAGTGTTAACTGTTGCACTGTGTCTATAGCCTGCCACTAGTAGTGAGTTCAAAGTTGGCATGGTAGACATCACTAATCTGTTAGAGAACTGTTTCTTGCTGAGTGTAGACAGCCTCAGAATTCTCCTAATCACTTTCTGCACTCCCTACCAACCCACCATCAATCCTGTGCCAGTCATGCTTCATGGGACTTCAGTGTCCATGAAGAAAGGACTGACTACCAACCCAGTCTCCTCTTGGCTATGTAGGAAGACCCTGTCTCAAACAAACCAACCTCACAAATATGCAAGCAAAACTGAAAAAGTGTTTTCTCACATTCTGAAGAAGTGTGTGTGTGTGTGTGTGTATGTGTGTGTGTGTGTGTATACAAACATACATACATGTGTATATGGACAGAACCAAATCAATAAGCTCTCTTTCTTTCTTTTTTAATTTATTTAATTTTACTTTATTTGTATTTGTGTAAAGGTGTCAGATCTCCTAGAAATGGAGTTACAGACAATTGTGAGCTGTCATGTGGGTGCTGGGAATTGAACCTGGGTCCTCTGGAAGAGCAGCCAGTGTTCCTAACCCCTGAGCCATCTCTCCAGCCCAAATAAACTCTCTTCTAAACAAATGAAGAAATAATCATGGTTTGCCTCTGAGGAATGACAGGAGAGGCAAAGAAACAGAACCAGGGGCCGGGTGTTGGTGGCGCACGCCTTTAATCCCAGCACTCGGGAGGCAGAGCCAGGCGGATCTCTGTGTGTTCGAGGCCAGCCTGGGCTACCAAGTGACCTCCAGGAAAGGCGCAAAGCTACACAGAGAAACCCTGTCTCAAAAAAACCAAAAGAAAAAAAAAAAAGAAAGAAAGAAACAGAACCAGGAAAGAACACATAGCCAGAAGCAAGTTATTGGCAAGGTCTTAGGTCTTGAGTTGTGTGGTAGGTTTATAATTAGTTTGTACTTTGATTTGCTGTTTCTATACACACTGGACTAAGCCTGTGCTTTCTGGCTGTTTGTCACAGGCTGATATAGACATCACAGAAATAAACAAGTTAACAGCTGAAGCTATTCAGACACCTTTGAAATCTGTCAAAAGTGAGTACTTTTCTTTTGTATAATTTTATTTGTATGTGTATGTTTATGGTATATGTGAGTATGTGTGGAGGCAGATGCTGACATTGGGTGTTAATGTCACTTTATTGACGTAGGGTCTCTTACTGAAGACAGAGCTTGCCTCTTCAGCCAGCTAGCCTGCTTACCACATGCCCTCTCTCTACCCCCTGAGGGCTGGGATTACAGATGGGATTTTCCTGGGTTCTGGGTGTCTGAACTCCATGCTTGTTTGCCTGGTTTCCATTGATCCATCTCCCAAGACCTTTAGTAATTATAGTCAGAGTCTGTGTGCTATGCAAGAGAGCCTGGAACTGGCTATCCTCCTACTTCAGTGCTGGGATTAGAGGCATGCTGGCGCCAGCACGCCTGATGTGAGTGCATTAACAGCCCCTCGGGACAGAGAACTGAGGTCCAGACCAGGCCTCATTGGCATGCCTCGCTCTGCTGAGACTATCTGGCCTGTGGTTTTGTGAGTATAAAAACTTCATTTGTGAAAGGAGGTTATTGGGAGGTGGTGGTGCATGCTTTTAATCCCAGCACTTGGGAGGCAGAGACAGGTAGTACACTGAAAAACTAACAAAAGAAAAAAAAAAAAGTGTGTGTGTGTGTGTGTGTGTGTGTGTGTGTGTGTGTGTGTGCTGGAAACCAGGCCTCAGTGCCTGGTCACTTTCTCCAGAAGTATTTCTCTCTGGCATCGTTAGCAGGACTGAAAAGAATCGCAAAGAAACACCTCAGCATTTAAGTTCAGTGATCTGTCTGTGCAGAATCATCTCACAGTCACACCCTGTACTGTGGGACTGTTGCTACATTTGTTTATTTGGGAATGGGCTGGTGTGTGCTATAACTTACAGTAATTGGTTTTCTTCTACTAGGGATTCAACTCAGGTCATGAGGCTTGGTGGCAGCACCCATTGAACCATCTTGCCAGCTCAGAAGCAGTTTTTTGGGAAGCCAAACTATAACTAATGAGCCTGGAATCAGGTTGGGTAGATTAAGGCATAGACCTTTTAAAAAAATAAAAAAGAACTGGACCACATGCCACTGTCACTAATCCTGGTGAGGGTTAGACCTTCCCATGGCCTGGATGTTGAGGCTGCTCTCCAGGGGTGTTTGACAGTCACCTGAACCAGAACCGTTGTTAATTCTGACAGAGCTTCCACCACACCTGCCTTGTAGACAGTGAAGAAAGCATGAGGTGTTTGCCCCCTGCCTACAGGATGGAATTGGGCTAGAGTTCCTGGCCGCAGCATGTTCAGTCTGTCAGGTCCCTCTATATGTTTTCGTTTGTTGGTTGGTTTAGGTGTTTTGTTTTTAAGATGGAGTTTGCCTACACAGCCCTTGCCATCCTGGAACTTCTCTGTATAAATAGACCAGGCTGGACTTGAACTGGCAGAGATCTGCCTGCCTCTGCCTCCCAAGTGCTGTGGTTAGAAGTGTGCACCACAAAAAAAAAAAAAGTGTACCACCATGCCTCTACTATCATATGTTTAGATAATATCACTTTTTCTTTGAGTTCCCTAAGTTTTGCTTACTTAATAGTTAGTGGGTGGAACTGAACACACCAGGCCCATCATCAATCAGCAATTAACAAGTGTTCTTATAAACAACCCTTTGACCTCTCAGCTTCAGCTAAAGGGAAGCTATTAAATGAATAACAAACTGAGCAGTACTGGGGAGAGAGGCAGGTGAATCTGTAAGTTCGAGGCCATCGTGGTCTCTACAGAGCAAGTTCCAGGACAGCTAGGGCTACTCAGAAAAACCCTGTCTTGGGAAACACCACACACACACACACACACACACACACACACACACACACACACAGAGGAAGAGAAAAGAAAAAGAAAAAGAAAACCATCCATGGTGGCACATACCTGTCATCCCAGTACTTGGGAGGTGGAGGCAGAGCTATCAGTAGTTCAAGCTCAGCCTCAGTAACAGAGTGAGTATGAGGCCAGCCTGGGTTACCTGAGACTGTCTCAAAGCACACATATACCCCCCATTATTTTTTTTTTTATGGTGGTGGTTGCTAATAAGGGCTAGAGTGGTTTAGTCTGATCTCTCCCACCACCATGACTAAATACCTGAATTTTCTCTGTAACCCCTGCTCAGGATTTTCTAGCTCCTAGCTTGTATTTATTTAGCAAATTTGTTTTGTTCTGTTGGTTTGGTTTGGTTTTTGGTTTTTTGAGACAGGGTTTCTCTGTGTAGTTTTGGTACCTATCCTGGAACTCATTCTCTAGACCAGGCTGGCCTCAAACGCACAGAGATCTGCCTGGCTCTGCCTCCCCAGTGCTGGGATTAAAGGTGTGTACCACTGTCACCCAACTTTGGTAGTTTTTGTTGTTGTTGTTTTGTTTTTTGTTTTTAAAGATTTATTTCTTTTGTGTGTTTGAGTGTTTTGTCTGCATGTATGTATGTGCATCACATGCATGTCTGGTGCCTGAGGAAGTCAGAAGGGGCATCAGCTGCTCTGGAACTGGATGGAGCTCAGATCATTGTGAACCGCTACTTTAGTTCTGGGAACCGAATTTGAGTCCTATACAGGAACATCAAGTGCTTTTAAGCATTGAGCCATCTCTGTAGCCCTCCAGGAAATCTTTTTTAAAAAGAGGTTTTAAACAAAGAAAACAATCAGAGTGGTTTAAAAAAAAAAAAAAGTAAAAAAAACCACTATGTAGTGCTACTGTAGGACCAGCCCAGCATTCTGATTAAGACAGATTTGGGCTAAGAGTGATGGCATGCACCTGTAATCCCAGCACTTGGGAGGTTAAAGCATGAGAATTCCAAGTTTGAGGCCAGCTTGGGTTATATAGTGAATATGAAACCTGCCTAGGTTATGTAGCAAGATCCTATCTCAAAAACAAATGAGAAAACTACCAAAAGAAACAATAATAACAACAAAACAACAGATGAGTATGAGACCTGGTGCTGCCACTTACTAGTCCAGATGGCTTTAGTAAAGACTCACCAGTTGCCTTATCTATAACAGGGTGTCCCCACTTGACAAGGTTATAAGACTTGAAACAGGTACTCTGTATAAGAATGGGTGTGCAGGGTTGTTGCTTCTGTATCCGCAAACCCTAGAATTGTGCCTGTAGTTGTTATCTGTGGAATGAATGAACATAAGGCCAATTGGACAGTATGAAACACAAGTTATAAAAACTACTAGTAATAGCCAGATGGTAGTGGCACACACCTTTAATCCCAGCACTTGGGAGGCAGAGGCAGGTGGATCTCTGTGAGTCTGAGGCCAGCCTGGTCTACAGAGTGAGTTCCAGGACAGCCAACACTACACAGAGAAAACCTGTCTCAAAAACACCTTCTACCACTCCAAAAAAACTACTAGTTATCACATTGCTATTTGTAAATAACATTATTATTATAGTTACCTTAGGAAGAACAAGGAGTACAAGGGATGTTTAAGATGAATGATTCCAGCAGAAATAACCAATTCTCATATCCAAGGGGCTCTTACATGGAAGGCAGTGCTATGGACCCGCCCCTGAGCTGGACAGGTTTCGACCGAAGTAACTCTTAAGACTGTTTGTTACAGAGCGGAAGGTAATCCAGGTGGATGAAGCGATAATGGAAGAAGAAGAAGAAGAAAAGAACCATAAGACTCTTCGATCTGCAAGAGTAAGTAGGAATTCAGGTTAGGGAGTTACCCAAAGACAGAAAGACTTGGGATAAGAGAGATGGTTCTGCACTTTAGAGCACTGGCTGCTCTTGAGGACCCTAGTACAATTCCTAGTGCCCGTGGTGGCTCACTGCTGTGTGTAACTCCAGTTTCAGGGGATCTGACACCTTCTGGCCTCCATGGCTCCCAGGCACACTTGTGGCACACACACATACATGCAGGCAAAATACCTGAACAAATTTTTTTTAAAAGATTTATTTATTTATTATGTATACGGAAGAGGGCACCAGATCTCATTAGGTGGTTGTGAGCCACCATGTGGGTGCTGGGAATTGAACTCAGGACCTCTGGAAGAGCAGTCAGTGCTCTTAACCTCTGAGCCATCTCTCCAGCCCATAATTTTTTTTTAATGTGGAATACAGTGTTGCTCTGGCAGAGTTCACAGACAGAGAAGATTGCGCTTTATGTGTCAAATAGCACACAAGTCACTGTAGATACAAGTGTAAAGTGTGTGGATCAGGAAGAGGAGGGAGGAGGAAGCTGTGGGACACGCCCAGCCAATCCTCTCAGAAGAAGCTTCACTAGCTGAAGAAGAAAGGGACAAGAGTTCAGGACAGGTGAGGAAAGTCTGTCTGAGGAGCAGGACGTGGTTTGGTGTGGCTGGGATAGAAGCTGTGAGAGTAATGGAGGAAAGGAGAGACCAGATAACGGATGCCCGTATACCAAGCTTGAGTTTCCATTCTGTCAGCAAGGCACTAGAAGAGCTGTATGAGCTGTCGTTATTTCAGAACTACTCAGAATGAATGGGAGAGGGAAAAGGAAGGCCAGGGGCATAGTTAGGATAACCTGAAGTGTAGTGCCTGTTTAAAAAGAAGTAGGCATTTTTCTGGGGTGAGTGTTAGCAAGAAAAAGTGAGGTAACTGATCCAAGCTAGTGGGAGCTCATGGACTCTGGACTGACAGCTGGGAGCCTGCATGGGACCACACTAGGCCCTCTAAGGTGGGTGACAGTTGCATTGTTTGATGTGTTTGTGGGTCCCCTGGCAATGAGGCCAGGACTCATCCCAGGTACACGAACTGGCTTTTTACCCTATGGTGCAATGCCTTACTCAGCCGTGATGCAAGCGGGATGGGCTTGGGCTTGTCCAAACTTGGTGTGCCAGCCTGTGTTCACTCCCCAAGGGAGGCCTTACTGCCTATGAGGAGGGGATGGGATGGGATGGGATGGGGGGAGGGAGAAGGGGAAGAGGGGTTAGTATGTAAAATGAAAAAAAGTTTTGGTTTTTCAAGACAGGGTTTCTCTATGTAGCCTTGCGCCTTTCCTGGAACTCGTTTTGGAGACCAGGCTGGCCTTGAACTCACAGAGATCCACCTGCCTCTGCCTCCCAAGTGTTGGGATTAAAGGCGTGTGTCACCACCGCCCGGCAAAATTTTTTTAATTAAAAAAAAAAAAGCAAAAGAAAGAAAAGCTGGCCAGAAACAAGCCAAGCTAAGACTGGGCATTTATAAGTTTAAAAAAAAAAATAATAAGAAAGAAAGAAAGGAAGGAAGGAAGGAAGGAAGGAAGGAAGGAAGGAAGGAAGGAAGGAAGGAAGAAAGAAAGAAGGAAAGAAGGAAAGAAGGAAAGAAGGAAAGAAGAAAAGATGAGCTTGGTTGGCCTAAGAAAGGAGAAACCAGAGATTGTAGATGCTTTCTAGACTAGACAGTGGCCATCCAGTGACGGTAGGACCCCTGAAAAGGCAGAGCCTCTGGTTAAGGCTCCAGGGAGCACCTGCCAATTGCATGCCCTGCTGAGTTAAGTACTTTTCAGGAATGCTAGACAGGATTCCAGCCTAGAGCTCAGCAGGGTGGAGAGACTCTCGGACCCTGGGTCTTTATATGTTCATCCCAGGTGAGAAGACTGTGCTGGAGCAAGCAGAGGGAGCTGCTGCTGTGCACTAGAGGGGGGTAGAAGTGAGATCCTCAGAATACTCCTCCCACGGGTGGCCGGGAAGGGAGACAGTGGGGTCGGAAGGACAGTGGGAGACAAGCCAACCTGACCAGCCCATCAGTGAGCTCCAAGTTCAGTGAGAGGGCCTGTCTCACACAGTAAGGGGAGGAACACTAGGGGGAAACACCCAGCATCCATCTCTGGACTCTCCGTGTACACTCATGTCAGAGTACACACATACGCGCATGTGTATACATGCAAGATTTCCCTTCAGTCTTGGCCCGTGTCTTCTATCTCAAGTCCTCAAGTTGTACGTATTTTAATCACTGAATTCTCTGCAGTAGCCCTTGTGTGTTTGGTCTCGTTTTTTGAGACAGCCTCACTGTGTAGCCCAGGTTGGCCTTGAACTCACTGTCCTCCTGCCTCAGCCTCTCAGGTGCTGGGATTACCAGCATGTGCCACTGTGCTCAACTGTGATAAACCTTCCTGTGTTGAGTTTTACTTTTCCTTTCAAAAGCTGGTTCTCCTTCCCCTCTGTTTTTATCTTTCTTTTCTCCTTTGCTAGGCTCTGTGTGACTTCAGGTTTGTTTGATTGTACTTGTAGGTCAAAAGATGCCCTCCATCCAGGAAGAGAACCCAGTCCATACAAGGAAGAGGCAGGAGCAAAAGGTGGTGGTTTTCTGAGATAGATGTGCTGTTTTGTTTTTGGTGGGGAAGTCCGTTCATCATGGTAGAAACAGAAGCAGAGGGAGCCCTGGGGGATGAGGCATAGCAGCTGGAACCACCTGATGTGGGCATGGGGAATGTGGGCCTCCGGACAGCAGGAAGTGCTCTTAGCCATAGAACCACCTCTCCAGCCCCATAGTTTCTTGAAATGCCCTCTGGTCCTGCTTAGACTCTCCATGGGCTCAAATGGATCATGCTGACTCTACTGTAAACCCTTTGAGGGGAAGGGAAACAACTTACGAAATTAGGCCCTAAACTGCCTGTCTCTGAAGGGCAGATCATGTGCTCAGAGAGAACCAGGCTCATGGTCCTCAGGCCCTTCCACCTGGCTGGGAAGTCCAATGCTGCCACAGGCTGCCCGGGTTCAGCCTCTCTGCTCCTCACTACTGTGTGATCTCGGGGAAGTTCTTTACTATGATGACCATCTGTGGCTGTAAATGGATACAAATTGCTCCCCTCCAAGGCAACTCAGAGGGTTCCATAACGTGATGGGGGCAGGGCTGCATCTGGCATGACCATTGCCTCTGTAGCTACTGCCATCCTTGCACCTGTGACTTGACACCCCTCGTGGCTGTTTCTTCCCTGCAGGGTAAGCAATGATTTTGTGACACCAGCCATGAGCAGGCTGGAGCCATCTCTGGTGAAACCAACCCCAGGTGTGACACCTAGGTTTGATTCCAGGTAAGTACCGAGAGCAGCCCGTGGATTGGGTGGAGCCCATCTGTGTATAGGTAATGCTCCTGAATCTCTGGTGAGACACCTCAGAGCACAGTTGAGCTTCCTACCATTGGCCCTCCCCTGACACTGCTTTCAATTCCTTTCCTGATGAGAGGGAGAGAGCATTGGCCTGTGATGACTGGAAGGCCTGTGCTTTTTGCCTTCTCTGATTCTGGTCAGATGGTATTGGAAGCCGAGTAGTTGCTTATTCCTGTACCCTTGGAAAGAAGAAAATTGATAGCACCTTTCCTGAAGCCAATATAACAAGACTGTTTACAGCAGAAGCTAATACCTGCCCTGGGGGCTGGCTGATGAGGCAGGAAACCTGTGTCGCCACAGTTAAGGCAGAGTGATGGTAGTGTGCACTGGTAATCGCGGCCCTCGGGAGTTGGAGGCAGGAAGATCAGTTCAAGGTCACCCTTAGCCACATAGCCAGTTTGAGGCCAACCTGGGCTACATGAGATGAAATGAGAATGGTGTGTGCTCCAAGGGAGGAGCCTCCCAGTCACAGCAGTTCTCCCAGGCTGCTTCCCAGATGTACTGCGGCTACTGTTGCTCTTGGACATAGAGGAAAATAGGGAATTAAGACCAATAGCTTCAGCCGGGCGGTAGTGGTGCACGCCTTTAATCCCAGCACTCAGGAGTCAGAGGCAGGTTGATCTCTGTGAGTTCAAGGCCAGCTTGGTCTACAAAGTGAGTTCCAGGACAGGTTCCAAAAGCTACACAGAGAAGCCCTGTCTTGAAAAACTTAAATAAATAAGTAAATAAATAAATACTAATAGCTTCTAGGGAGTAGGACAGGAAAGGGCTATCTCAGATGAGGAAGACTTCCCACTTTTTTATTATTTATTTTTGGTTTTTCAAGGCAGGGTTTCTGTAAAGCCCTGGCTGACCTAGAGCTAGCTCTGTAGACCAGGCTGGCCTTGAAATCACAGAGAATCGCCTAGCGACTTTCCATTTCAATTCCTGCTCCACTATTTGCGACATCTACTTACCTCCATTTTGGAGGAAATACATACTGAAGTTCTGTGTAGAGAAGGATGCCTTGGGGATTAGTGTGATGTTGTCTCGGAATCCCCCTCCCTTGACCCTGGAGAGGTCCTCGGGGTGGAAGTACTGAGCTGCGTTTGGACGCACAGGAACCCGTGTGCTTCTGGTTCTGTGGGTGAGTGGGAAATTACGGAGCTTTGGCCCTCAGTTTGCATGGGTGTGAGCTGACTTTTGCTGGATGTATGTTTGATAATTGTAGCCTCCTTTCTCCAGCTGTGTTTAGTCATTACAGCTTGAAAAATGTTTTCCCTAAATTTAGAATTTGCCTTCTTAGAAGCGTGTGATTTGAAAACTACAGCTTGAGACCAGATGGGGTTGGAAGGGCTTGTTGTGAGGGTGTCATTATTCAGTCTGCCAAGCCGTCTTCACTGAGTTCTCCTCTTTTAGGGTTTTCAAGACCCCAGGCCTGCGCACTCCAGCAGCCAGGGAGCAGATTTACAACATCTCCATCAACGGCAGCCCTCTCGCTGACAGCAAAGAGATCTCCCTCACTGTGCCCGTGGGAGGTGGTGCGGTAAGTGGCATCCTGGGAAACCAGGCCCCGTGTGCTGCACAGCCCAGAAGCCTCTTTCCCCTGAGTGGCTCCCCACGCCTACGTCAGAGACCCTGAAGAGTCCCTTCAGTGGGCGGATCCTAGTCACCACACTGCCTCAGCACTCAGGACCTGGTGTTCTCTCCCAGGGTCGTGGCCCAGCTGGGAGGACCCATGCCCAACTCTGGGTTCCGCTGCGTGTACAGTAATGGCTGTTAGAGGGAGCGCAGAGGAAGGCACACTGGGGTAGGGCCGTGTACCTCAGAGTCTTGAGAGATTCTGAAACAGGCTGGCTTGGATCTCAGTTCTGCAGAGTGCGTGACCAGCCTGCATGAGGGGAGGGCGTCTGGTCTCAGATTTGGTCTGTGTGGCATTGTACTGTGTGACCCAGCCAGGGGTCCACTGATAGCATTGATGGCGTCATCGTCTCCTGAGGTCTAACATACTGGTACTATCCGCCTGCATTATCATCTCTCCATCCTAGCTGTCTTCTGTCACCACATGCAGAATATCAAGGGGACCCTGGGTTCACTGGCTGCTGCCAGAGGTTCCAATCTGGAAGGACATGCCATCTAACCCTTTCTCCCTCCATGCAGAGTTTGCGGTTATTGGCCAGTGACTTGCAGAAGGTTGATATTGCTCAGCTGAATCCAGAGGCCATAGGAAACATTAAGAAGCTCTCGGTGAGTCCGGGTTCGTCTCCACATGGAGGAGCTTGCCCTTTGCACTGGCCTTTGTGGGGCTTTGCAGAGCACTGCCCAGCTCTTACTTTACTGTTCCCTGTCAACACTGTTCCATTTTCTATCTTAGTTTCAATTCTCAAGAGGAATAGCCTGCCTACAGCCCAGTCAGCCGTGCTTGGGTGTGGGCGGGAGCTTGGGGTACAGGCATGGCTGCTAGAGGCCCATCCTTGTGTACATCAGGAAGGAGACAAGCCTTGAGCTGGGGTCCTAAATATGTACTAAGGTCTCATAGACATCTGTGACAGTCATCCCCCAGCATCAGTGTCTCTCTTAAGAAATGACTCTCCAGTTAGTCTCTGATTAGTTTACAGTACAAATGAAGAACAAAAGGAAGAGTCCCTGAGACCTAGGCTTGGGAAGCTGGAGAGCCGCCTCAGTGATGAGGTGCGCTTGCTCTTGCAGAGGACCCAGGTTTAGCTCCCAGCAAACATGGCAGCCTGTAACTCCAGTTCCTGGGGATCCAGTGCCCTCTTCTGGCCTCTGTAGACATTAGACACATTCACACACAGAAAATAAAAATAAATCAGTCTTGCCGGGCTGTGGTGGTGCATGCCTTTCTTTATTCCCTGCAGAGGCAGGCGGATCTCTGTCAGTTCTAGGCCAGCCTGGGCTACAGAGCGAGTTCCAGGACAGCCAGGGCTACACAGAGAAACCCTGTTTCGAAAAACAAAACAAAACAAAAATCAGTCTTTAAAAACAATCCTGTGCTTGGGTAGACTAAGCTGACTGTGTGGCATGCCTGGCATGTCTTAAAATGACCTCTCCCTCTCCTCTCTAGAGCCGCCTTGCCCAGATCTGCAACAGCATACGGACCGGCAAATGAGAAGGCGGCGGTGGCGGCGGCGGGGCAGCAGAGGTGGCGGCAAAGCGCACATCTGTCCTCTTCCCCCAGTCTGTGGGGCGCTGGGTGGAGAGTTTCACTTGCTGACACGTGGGACGGTGCTTCTGTCTGTCTGTCTGTCTGTCTGTCTGAGAGCTCCGGTGTCTTGCTGTACACCTCTAGTTGTTTGGATCGGGAACACAGGCCTAGTCAAGAGCTCTGTGTGCCTGGTGCAGAGTGACCGTGAGCCGTCTGTGGCTCGAGGTTCCCCAGCCTGTAGACTGCTTGGGCCTTGTCCTGGAGGGCTCGCGAGCAGGGCCGTGTGACTGTGCTCTGCAGGGAGCGGTGGGGCCCTGTGCTCCCACAGGGGTGGGGCCCTGTGCTCCCACAGGGATGGGGCCCTGTGCTCCCACAGGTGCCGCTGCACAGCTCTTTGGTAGTCAGTCTGTTATTATTTCAGTCCTCTAGTTTTTCTACTGCTGAGGTTTTCATGCACGTTGTTTTCTGAGCAGTGGCATTTCGGCCGACTTGTCCTACTGCAAGATTGCTGTTTTCAATAAATCTTGGTTTGCTTTGGTTTTTACATCAGTCCTCAGCCTGCCTGTTGTCTCCAGCTGTGATGCAGTCACGCCACAGCTCCTGGAGTGGGCATCCCTGGACAGCTGCCTTCTCAGGAGTGGGGAAACCTTTCCTATGGGCAAAAGCACTGACCTCCAGAAGGGACTCCAAGATCCAGGGCTGTGGTAGCGCAGGCTAGCTGCGTTCCCCACACTTTGTCCCAGGAGCTAAGGAAGATGAACTGGAAGACATCAGAGTAAACCAGTGTGGGGCTTGGCCAAGAGGGACAGGGCACCGACCTAATGCTTCTTGCATTTCACAGTCCTGAGACTCACTTCACAATCCTGGGACTCAGGCAGGGCTCTGCTTCCTCCAGCTCCCCACACTGATGGGCTGCATGGAATGCTGGTAGCAGAGGACTCTGGGAAAGAACTGGGGGCATTGCTGGGTGTGCCCTCTATAGAGAAGAAGCCTCTGGTCACTGGGCTTGCTGGGTGTGCCCTCTATAGAGAAGAAGCCTCTGGTCACTGGGCTTGCTGGGTGTGCCCTCTATAGAGAAGAAGCCTCTGGTTAGTGGTGGAATTTGGAAGAGAAGTGACAGCCTACAACTAACCACACCTGAGGCTTCCATTTCTGTGTTGAGCCTGCCCTCAGGGATCGGGTGGAATTCCACGCTACCCAAAGCCAGGTCTACTGTGCTGCCTTCTGTTTCCAGCACTGGCAGCATAAACTCAGTTGAACAAGATGCACAGTGCATGCCGGGCGGTGGTGGTGCACACCTTTAATCCCAGCACTCGGGAGACAGAGGCAGGTGGATCTCTGAGTTCGAGGCCAGCCTAGTCTACAAAGCGAGTTCCAGGAAAGGCGCAAAGCTACACAGAGAAACCCTGTCTCGAGAAAAAAAAAAAAAAAAAAAGATGCACAGTGCCCAGTAGGTGTTCTGGCTACACTGTCCCTTCTCCCTAAAGAAGGGACTGGCTTGGAAGGTTGAGTTTCCCCATCCCAGTGTTTCAGAGAATGGGCTTGATAATGTCAAACAAAGTGCATCCTTGGTGTTTGGGTTAGTTTGGCAGTAATTGTTGCTTTTCTTTTGTATATGTCTGTACCACATGCATGCAGTGCCCTCAGATCCCCCGAGAGCAGAGTTACAGACAGTTGTGAGCTACCGTGTGGGTGCTAGAAATTGAACCCCGGTCCTTTTGAAGAACAGCCAGTGCCCTTAATGGCTGAGTCATCTCTCCAGTCCCCTGAATGACCTATTTTAAAAACAGGAAGATACCACAAAGAGTGCTAGCCTCCAGAAGTAAAGCATAGTAGCCTAGACCAGTCAGCCAGCGTGAGGTGTGGCTTCTAGTTCAAAGCCCCAGAGATGACATCTTCCTCTGACCTACTTCATCCCTCTGGACAATTTGTACCAGAGCTGCTTGGGGTGGAAGGGCAGATGCACCTTGGCATCCTCCCTCAAGACCACGGGTACCAATAAAGAAAGGGTTCCTCCAAGTCCTCCAGGGGCCCTGGGATTTTGAGGAGCCCCTTACTGGATCCTACATGTCTTTCCTTGAGACTAGGCCACCCTGTGAAGTAGTTCATCAGTGAGAGAGTGGACACCAAGGCATTGTTCTTTGAATGGCACAGCCATTCTCTCAAGGTAATTAAAGGCCTATCTCCAAAAATAGTAGGGAAATCCTATGTCACCACAGGGCTTCCATCTTCAGGGTGTTCCCAGGACCCCTGAAAAGCAAAGCAAATCTCTGTCACAATATATACCTAAATCTGCCTACCTTGTTACATGATGTGATGGTTGTTGGCCTACACCTAAAATTCAATGTAACACACTCAAGGATTTTAAGTAAGACAATTTACTAGGTGTGGTGGTACCAGAATGTGAGGATTGAAGGCAGGGGTATTAGGAGTTCAAGGTCATCCTCAGCTACATAGTGAATATGAGGCCATCCTAGACAAGGGAACCACCTTGGGGGAGGGGGGTTCAGTGAGGATAGTCACAATTGGGAAACAAGCTTGGTCTGGATTCTGGATTTTTCTTACATGAAACGGTCTTAGTCAAAACATTTCCCCTGTCCACACTTAACATGCTGTAGGCATCTTGAGGTCATCTATGAACCTAAATGGTTTCTGATTTTTCTCTGTTGCTCCATGAACTTCAGCCGGCAAAGGGGTACAGGCTGTGGTAGGCAGTACAAAGGGGGAGAGGTCAGGAGGGGAGATGTGATCTGCAGAAATGCCAAGGTCAGGCCCTGCTTAACGAGTCAGTAAACTCACTACTCAGTTTCCTCTGGGAGCATCCCCAGGCGGGTAGAGACTAGGCAAGGCACAACCTCTGGAGTCCACAGTGCCTAGAATTATGCCTCATTCTTTTTATATTTGACTGTTCAGTAAGCAATGAGATCTTAGCTCCCAGTGCTGGCCACTAGTAGGTATCTGGTACATACTGGCTGAACAGGAGGCTACTTCATAAAACCAGATCAGGCTTACTGCCCAGAGAAGACCGTTTCAACTCCCAGCCATATGCTGTATCTACCTGGGGTATCACCTTGCTAGTAATAACCCTACATTGCAGGAGCACTTTGCTGCAATCTGTAAGATTCTTCAGCTCTACCCCCCATCTTTCTCTTGTGACTTCACCCCTAAAATTAAGGTCATCGTTAGGAGCTGTATAATTCTCCACTCAAACTCCTTTGTGGAAATCCTAACCCCAATAACTGAACGTGACTGTATTTGCAGATGACATCTTTGAAGAAATAATTAAGTTTAAATGAGGCTGTTGGGCTGGGCTGGTGTGGACCAGATGCAGAGAAACAGAAAATGGCCATGGTCAAACCCAGAGATGTTCCCCTCAGTCTGCAGAAGCAATGCAGACTTGACCTTGGCCTTGCAGCCCCAGAGCTGTGTGATAATAAGCATGTTATGTACAACGCCCAGGGTATAGCTCTTTGCTGTAGTGGCCTGGAGTAAGCATGTAGTCTAGTCACCAATGTCATCTCCCCTAACACCCCACCACTCTGGATCTGACACCCACCAAAACTCATACTCCCTGTGATGGCCTGCATGCATGCCTGTGTGAGAGTGTCAGATCCCCTGGGACTGGAGTAACAGTTGTGAGCTGCCATGTGGGTGCTGGGAATTGAACTGGGTCATCTGGAAGAGTGGCCAGTGTTAGTGCTCGTAACCACCTAGCCTCTCCTTCCTAGTGCGCCTTGCAGTCTGGCTCCTGTGCCCCTCCATCCAAGCTGCCCTGTCATGCTGGGGCTTCTCCAGGACTCCCCTCTCCTCTCCGTGCTCCCTGGGTGGCCTCCCTCCCGCGGTGGCTTCAACCTTCCTCGGTGTGGTTGCTGGTAGCCGTGTCAGGGGAACAGCAGGTGGCAATTGGGGCTCAGGGTGTCGGCCCACCTAAAGAAAAACTCTCTGATGAGTGTATCTTGTTTAAGCAAGGCTTACAAGGACACAGACCCCAGAATGAATGTCCTTGGCTTCTGTTGTGCCTTTACGGGCTGCTGCTACACTGCCTGTATTGTAGTGTGTTTATCTCATGAATACATCCCCAGCTACTGGGCATTTATATCTGTGGATTGTCAGGAAGATGATCCCTCGTTAAGCTGTATAATTTTGATGAATAAAAATGAATACAAGGATATGCCACAGAGTCAGGGCTCATGAGTTCCCCATTAGGAGCTGCTTCTGATCACAGCTCAAATTAATGATTAACTGGGAGTCAGGATGGCTCAAATTCCTTTTATTTTATTGCTGAGCACCACTAGCTGATAGAAAGCTTCAAAATAGCTTTAAATTAGACCAGATGCCTTGCTAATGGTTTTTAAGATAAACATTCCCAGTAAAGCAATCTGTAAGGACATTACTGAGCTGTCTGGCTTAGGTCATAAAATAAAAAACAGCCCAATTATTGCTAGCTGGCAAGTGATTAATTCCTTGCACCCATTCCTGACCTCAATTTGTGCAATTTTGACTAGTCAGGGCTACAGAAATTAATTTGACTCTGTAGCCTCAAAATAAGGGCTACAGGTTTTCTTGGATAGTTAGGAATCATACACGGGACAAAAAGTACATTTTAAGATTTAAGTAAGCGTCACAGTATCATGGAAAGTGCCAGCTAAGCTGATACTAAAAGAATGTGGTACCTGAGCATGAACTAGAGAATCTACGACACCCTTCGCTTCTCTTTGTCCAACACTCACCAGGCAAATTGGAAATTTAAAGAGAACTCAGAATTTATGATTCCTGATTGCAGAATGTTAGTTAAAAACTGTTTACATGGTCGTGAGTTAGTTTAATTTGCCTACTTGAAAGAATGCAGGGGCAAGCTGGGCGGTAGTGGCTCAGACCTCACAGATCTCAGTGAGTTCAAGGCCAGTCTGGTCTACAGAGCAAGTTCCAGGACAGCCTCCAAAGCTGCACAGAAGCCCTGTCTCAGAAGAGAAAAAAAGAATGCAGAAGCAAAAGGGTGAAGCGGCTATACACTCACATTGGTCACAAGTACACAGTTTTCTCATTTTCTTGGACTCTTCAGCAGTTTAGGTTTATGATTCCTTTAACATTCCTTTTAAGATTACCTCTCAAGATAGATAATAAAGTAATTGATTCTTTCTTTGTAACTACACTTTACAGCCTGTCGATAAAAGGGTTGGCTGAGAAAAGAAGCTCCTTGCTTGCTCATGACGGGCTACGTAGATATGTTGCATGAGAGTTGTTGGGATGGCTCTGTTTTCAGCCATGTCTTTACCTGTGGAATGCAACCTTCTATGACTCTAACAGTGCCTGAAAGATTTTGTTGGGATATATAAGCAGTGTGGTGGTGGTGGGGGGAGGAGAATAAAAAAAAAAGAAACCATCAAGAGAGTGTGTGAGTGTCCTCATTTTCCCTAACTCCTCAGAAGAGTTTTAGCTTCACTGACACTGTGGAACTCCCTTTGAGCTCTGTGTGCTGCCTTGCAGGCTGGACCGCCAAGGCCACATTAGTGAGGCAATGATGACCCCAGAGGTCAGTCTCTAGCTCACATCTATGCTCCAAGGTCCAGACCTAGATATCCACCCGTGTCTAAACAGTCTTCAGGCATCTCACACGAGCATCCCAAATCCAGCTGTTGGCCATTTCCTATCCCCAGCTCCACATCTGCGCAGGTACCACATCCTCCAGCACACATAACTTCCTTGCTTGACTGGTTTTTGTGATACAGTCTCGTGTGACACCCAGTGTGTCCCATGTGCCCCAGGCCCTTGTCCAGTCCCATTTCCTGTGTCTCCACTCGACTGTGGCATTCTTCATAGCAGAAGAATCTCAGACGAATGCATACTCGGGGTCTGTATGCAGAATCTCCACCCACAATTGCTCAGTGGTTTTAACAATGCCACACAGAAGGACCATAACACAGACAAGTTTTTATTACTTTGTACTGCATATAGAACCCAAGAAATATAAAAAGCATCTCCAGAGCTCCTCAAAGGAGCCTCCACCCACACCCAGCCCCTCCCTCCCCGGGTGGGTGCAGACAGCGCAATATGGGTTCCAGGCCACCTTTCTCTGTCCAGCAAACAAGCTCTATGTATAAAAATAGATCTGTGGAGGGTCCCCAGCGACCTAGCACCCTGTATCATGCTGGTGCCTGTGCAGGGCTGAGGCCTGGGACCTTCTCAGGATTCTAGGACCTCACTCCTCATCAGAGGGGAGGTCTACCCTGGACACCGAAGTCTTGCCAACACAACCAGGGACCCCCTCTGCCGACAACTGGGGAGGGGAGGAGTTTGACCTTGAGAATGACTGATGTGGCTGGAGATGGGGACGAGGTTCTGATCACCCAAGCCAGGGCACTGGTCCCCAGGAGCCTGGGATGTTGGGCCAGTTTCCCCTGGAGGGAGAATGAAGGAAGAGCCTGTGGGGGGGGCCTATCAGTTCCCCCAGGTCTGTCAAAGGTGGGTGCAGTAGCCCAGTCTACCCTAGCGTTCCTGCAGTCACTGAGCTCAGGCAGGTGTCCAGGGAGCAGAGAGCCAGAAATGGGGCAGGCTCTGACGAGGGAAGAGCTGCTGCTGGCAGATCAAGGCCAAAGGCACTGCTGAGAGTCACTGACCCCCCTATGGGGTACTCTCCAAAGATGCTGTGGCTTCCGGCCCCCAGACTCTCTGCTAGAGATCCTTGCTTGAATTCCGAGCCTGCTGGTAACTCCAACCACCCTACAGAGAGAACGCTCTACCCCTCAAGACCTTATTCAGTTCTGACTTAGGCTAAGAAGCCTTCTGGACACCCCTTGACACATACATGTCAACAGTCCACCTGGCCATCCTCCCTGTCCCCCATGGGCTCCTAGTCTAATCCCTCCAATGGTACACTGGATTCTGTCTGCCTCTCTGCACTCCCACTTGCTGGCCCAGCCCATGCTGCCTCTCTTCCCTACCACAGCAGAAACAGAGCAGGGAGCCATCAGGAATGATGCAGAAAAATTTGGTCCTGTCCACATCCAGCAGCCTCTCTGCCCTCCCAAGAAATAGTCTTGGTCTCAAGTTCTCACAGCTGCCAGGGCCCTTGCAGATAGGTCAGGTAGCACCACACTCCTTCAAGGGCTCTGGACAGCACACACACACACACACACACACACACACACACACACACACACACACACACACTCCACAGAGGAAGCATGGCATGTGGGGGCAGAGCAGCCTGAAGGGACTCACCCAGCGAGGAGTCGCTGGGCTGCCCAGGGAACAGGGCTGGTGCCATGGGGAACGGCAAGCTCTCTCCAGAGTCAGCCTTCTCCCTGGATTTCGGTCTGGCATCAAACCCTGGCTCTGAGATTATAAGCTCTGACTTCCCCATCTATACAGTGCGGTTGAACCAGACTGTCAAAACCACTGCCTCCTCAGTCTCTTCCCCTTCTCTCTACTCTCCAGAATGCAGAGCAACACCTCCCCCACTCCCCCGAGGCTCCTCTGACTCAGTTCCCAAACAAATGAGACAGCCAGGCCCGGGGGAGCCCCAGGACCTTGTGTGCCCTAGTAGGAACCTGGCCCTCACCCTGACCTGCTAACCCAAGGCAGGAAGCCATCAGCTCTGAAGTCTCCGCCTGGGGGGTCCAGTCCCTGAGCTCAGCACCACTTTCCTGCTTGGGCCTTGGGACCAGGGTTCAGACAGACCTAGCCAAGGCATAGGAATTAAGGGACACCACCCACTAGCCCAGGGTCCCATACTCAGGTGACCAGGCAGCTGTGGCCTCTGCTACAACCAATGGGTCTCTCTCGGGGACCCTTACTGCCTGGCAGGCTAAAAGCTCTCTGAGGAAATGAGATGCCGACTGATTAGGTCCAACCCCCAGTGAGCGTGGAAGACCAAGGGGCCTGAGGCAAGACAACTGAAATTGACTGTCTTCCCCCAAACAGCTTTGCCCTTGACACCCTAACCTTCTTCCTGCTGTTATCTCTGGGGTCCTCTCCAGGGATCTGAACCTCTTTTGTAGGACCACTAGGTCAGCAAGGTGTGGAGAGGAGATATGAAATGGGGGGGATAACGTGGTACCAACCCGCTCAGGGCCCACTAGGAGTAAGAGAGCGCTCGCTCCTCCCACCCACGGCGGGTGTAGCTTGCAGGTCCTTGGGCAGGATTGAGGTGCTCACACCTGTACCCCCTGGCCCTGGAGCTGCAGCACTCGAGTCTGCAGGGTGCTGATCCCACTCAGGAGGGCTTCTCGATGCTCGGCGGAAGAGATACCCAGGCTCCCCAGGTCTCTGTAACAAGGGACAGTCGTATGAGGCTGACTCGAACCCTCTCCTACTCCCCCGCGGGAGCCAACCCTCTCCTATTCCTTCTCTGGACAAGGAAAGGCCCAGAACCAGGACAGCTAGGGCCTTCCCATCTAGGTTAGAGCTCTCTTGGGTTCCCTGAACCCTGTCCTTGACCTTGGCTCCTTAGACTCACTGGGCGGTCATCTCAGCCACAGCCTCCAGGCTTCCGTAGCCAGCTGCAGAGAAGTTGTCCTTGTAGCGGCCCAGGTCCAGGGCCTCCAGCCAGGCACCCACAGAGCCGAAGGAGGGAAAGGTGGAGAAGGCACGGTCTGCCAGAGGGGTGGGAGGTCTGGGGAGCAGAGAGGCCACAGTCAGTCGACAACCAGGGTGTGCCACCAGACCCAGTCACTCTCTTGAGAAGCAAGAAAGGACAAGGGAAGAGAGTAAGGTGACAGGCACACAAAAGGCCCTGGAGAAATGGGTCAGGACAGTCAAGCAAGTAGGGAGCCAGCCAACTAAAAGGCAAAATCCAGGACATAACTGCCATGAAGTGAGATGTGCCTGAAGTAGGTGGGGGTGTCAGATCTGTCTGGACAATGGACACTGGGAGAATACTGGCAGACAAGTGAGACTTTGGCCGACTGACCTGGCTTGGGGGTTGGTGAGGATGTACCTGAGGCAGGTGTTCGCGGCACACTTGGAGGGCTCTGGCTCCTGCCCCATCTTGCTCAGGATGCTGTGGATCTGGGAGAACCTGGGCCGCTCACCCGGGTCCTTCTGCCAGCAGTCAAGCATCAGCCGGTGCAGCGGGGAGGGACAGTTCCTGGGGGGTGGCAGCCGGAAGCCATCCTCCACAGCCTTGATCACCTGGACTCCAGGGGCGGGGAGGAGACAGGATACTTCAGACGGCCCAACACACACACACACACACACCACCACCACCACCACCACCACCACCACCACCACCACCGCCACATCCACCATTATCATCATTCCAAGGAGGACTCTAGGCAGGATGGGAGTAGAAGAGAGGTCTGGAGCTAAGAGGCCAAGGATCAATAGGCGGAGGTCAGGAAGCTGGAGCCGTGGGTCACTTACGTCTTGTCCAGACATGTCCCAGTAGGGCCGCTCCCCAAAGGCCATCACCTCCCACATGACAATGCCAAAGCTCCACACGTCACTAGCAGAGCTGAAGTGGCCAAACTGAAGCGTCTCAGGAGCTGCCCAGAGTGCTGGGCTCCGGCCACTCTATGGGTGGGTGAGCAAAGCAGGGCAGGAAAGCACTGAGTCACCAGCACCCACATCCCAGTCCCACATGTCTTCCCCCACCCCCTTCACATCTGAGGAAGCAGCCCAGCTGACATGGGGATGGTACCATCAAAGGGGAGGGACCGGGCAGGGAAGGATCACCAGCATCAGGGAAGGAGGCGGAGCAGAGATATGGAGACCACGGGGCTGCTGGGTGTGGCCAGCAGGAGAAGCAGCAGGTGGAACCAGAGAAGGGAACCCCTTACCATGGTGGTGTAGACAGCTTCTGCTCGGTCCCGGGGACCCCGCCCGAAGCCAGAGATCTTACAGATGAGGCCACTGCTGACGAGCACCCGGCGGGCTGCCAGCCCCCGGTGCACATAGCCCATCTCAGACAGATACTTCATGGCCGATGCCAGCCCCGGCAGCAGACCCATCAACTGCGCCGCCATCAGCTCCCCCTCGTGATGCTGTGGGATGGGTGAGGACTGAAGCCAGGGCCGCACACGCAGATCACCCAGGAAGCCACTAAGTCCCTCTGGGACTCAGGGTACCACGAGCAGCAGCAGGTCAGCCTGCCCAGTGGGAGCAATGCCAAATCCCAAGCCCCAAGAGAAAAGGGAGGAGGCAAGAAAAATAGGACATTGGTACTCTCCCACCCAGGGCTCCAAGCACTCACCCTGAGGAAGTCATCAAGGGCCCCAAGGTTCATGTACTCCGTGACAATCATCAAGGGGTTTCCTGTGCCAGGGAGAGAGACACCCAAAGTTGCTGGCTCTACCCATGCACACACTTCCCCCCACCAGCTCCACCCCAGCCAAGACAGCCAAAAGCAAAGCCAAGTTTTCCAATCTTGCCACCAGCCCATTAATCCCACGCACTCAGCCCTACCACCCATTCTGGCGCTGAGGTACAAAAAAGTCAACTGAGCTGGGCGGTGGTGGCTCGCGCCTTTAATCCCAGCACTCGGGAGGCAGAGGCAGGCGGATCTCTGTGAGTTCGAGGCCAGCCTGGTCTACAGAGTGAGTTCCAGGACAGGCTCCAAAGCTACACTCCGGCCCCTAAAACAAAAAGTCAACCGTCCATCGTGGGACAGAGGCTCAAGTCAGAGGTGCAGGGAGTCAGCTGAGAAAAATCAGTCAAGGAGAAAGTGATCCACTCCCCAGACGTCCCTGGCAAATTGGAAAGGTCGTTCTGGGCCGGCATGGCCACTCCGAGGGAGGGGCCACTCTGAGTCACCGAAGAGAAAGGGAGCTAGTGAACTAAGGTTGTGTCTGAGCCCACTCCATAATAGCCTGGCAGGGGAGCCCACCCAGTACCCGGCCAAATCAGGGATGCGCGGCGGCTGGCCTACCTCGGGTGACCACCCCTTCCAGCCGCACAATATGGCTGTGGTCAAACTGCCCCAGGGTGAGGGCCTCAGCCAGGAAGCTGAGCCGCTGGGAGTCGGAGCACCCATCCCTCAGAGTGTGGACGGCCACAGGCAGCTCCTGGCGACCGGGCAGCTGCAGGCAGCCACAGCACAGGTCCCCAAATCGCCCTGCGAAGAAACCGCACCTCAGCGGACTCCCGACAGCAAACGGGGGTAGGCTGAACCAAGGAGAAGGGGACTCTGGGTCGTGGGTCATCTCTAGCTCGCGGCGGGAAGTTCCAGAGTTCGAGTCCTAGCGTCCTGAGTACCAGGAGTGTCACCTTGGGCTTCATCTCTTTCCTCTTGGTCCAGGGACACGTGCCTGCCCATCAAAGGTCTTTGAACCCCACAAAGTCAAGGACCGATGACATGACGAGGAGATCTATTCTGCCCTACAGCTCCTTCCTGACTCCTGTTGTGAAGGTTCCAGGTCGAGGCCTGTTTCTTGGAGCCCAAGTAATTGACAGTTGTGAGCCGTCAAAAGGAGGTTGACGCTCAGAACCAGCAAGGCCCTGCCCTGAGCCTGCGGAGTTCCCATAGCAACCCACTGAGTAGCGGATACCACGCCCCTTTGGGGGGTGAGAAACTGAGGCTCAGAGAGCAACTGAGGATGAGCCCCTAGTCGCGCAGCTAATCAGGTGTGTTTCTGACTCGCCCTTCCCCGCTGTCCCATAAAAGCCGGGGACTAAACTGAGAGGCTCTCTCTCGGGAGGCTGTCTGGGAAAGGTCCTGAAGGCAGGTGTCCCAGGGTGACCTAGGGAGCAGAGGAAAGAGGGCGCGGTACTTTCTGGGAAGGGGTACCCTGGGTGCAGAGGCGGGGCTCCCGGCCATGGGGTGGGGACTGGAAGGGGGCGGGGAGGACACTGGCTGAAAAGAGGTGGGGCTAGCGGAGACGCAGGGCTTTCCCCAGTGGGTGTTGCCTGGTGGGTGGGGTTTATCCAGTGGGCGGAGCTCCCTGATGAATCCAGACTTCTAGGGTCCAGGGCTTGCCTGCTCCCAAGCTCTTCTCCAGGGTGACGCTTTTGGCATCGAGCTCCTTGGCGAACAGATGCACAGCCTGCAGCGGGTCCCCGCAGCTCTGGGGATCCAGAAACGTGCGGCGTGTCGGGACTTTGACTGAGAACACCGAGAGAGAAAGAGAGGATGAGGAAAGGGGTCTCGTCGCGGAGGTAACAGGAAGTGGCGGCTGGGAAGGGGTCGAAGGCGGAGGAGTGGGCGGCACAGACAACAACTCACAGTGGAAATACAGTTCCTCCTCGTCGTGGGCGTCCCCGCTTCCTTTGCCATCGCAGGGCCTGTGGGGACGCAGAGGCATCCTTTCATCAGGCGACCCCAGCCCTTCCCACTTCACCAGCGCCCAGGGCAGCACCTCTTGGTCCCTTCAGAAAGAAAAGCTCTGTGCCCCTTCTGGGGAGGGACCTCTCGTCCTGCTGGCTGGGGGGGCTCCTTTCCGTTTTTAAATTTATCTTCAGACTTATTCATTTATTTATACAATATGTGTTGTGTCACTCGGAGGGCAGGTTGCAAAGGTTGGTTCTCTCCCTCCACCTTTGTGGCTGCTTGCCATCAGCTTCACGGCAAGTGGCCTTACCCACGAAGCCATCTTTTTGGTTTGGTTTGGTTTTTTCAAGACAGGGTTTCTCTGTGTAGTTCCTGCTGTCCTGGAACTCACTCTGTAGACCAGGCTGACCTACAGAGATCCACCTGCCTCTGCCTCCTGAGTGCTGAGATTAAAGGTGTGAGCTGCCATGCCCAGCTCACTCAGCCAGCTTACAACCAGCTTTCTTTAAAAAAAAAAAAAAAATGTAATCTTTTAAAAATTGCTTCTCTCGCCGGGCGGTGGTGGCGCACGCCTTTAATCCCAGCACTCGGGAGGCAGAG